CCAAAGGTCGCAAAGCATTGGAATAAAGTTTTGTGTGTATATTGGATAAGTAACAGATAAAGTCACTTTCTGAAGATTGGTCTCAGGGGAGGGAAGAAATAGCCAGTAAACCAACCAACAGCCTCCCTCAATCAAGAGGGAACTAGAAATAGTCTCCATCCATACTCTGTTTACATACTATGATGTTGGTAAATAATAACTCCTCCCAGAATAATTCAAGTAAGTGGAGCTTTCTATCTCCTCTAAATAAGATTTTTATATTTTTAGTTTATATGTTGCTTTAAATTGAGGAAAAACATAGGCATGCTGAGTTTACAACGCATCTTCATGGTCTGCAAATCTCTGTAAAGAAATACATTGGGAAAATGAGTAGTCAATAGGCACACTCTATATAGTTGAGATTAATAGGATCTTCCTTGAATGGCCTACACCTTAAAACACGCACTGTATTAGAATGAAAATTGGTAGCTTTCAAATCCATCAAACTCCGACATCAGTGTCAAAGCCCTTGTATTCCAACAAACCTGTGAAAGAAATGGAGCCCAGTATGGAGTTATGCAAGCTCTTGGCAGTGGTAAATTTTATGAGAGGCAACCATATATGTTATATTCATAGGTTACATATTTTGGCGATACCTGATTGGTCGGTCTAAGCATTTCATCTTTATTATGCATGGACAGACCCTGGCAGATGAGCTTGGAAGTAAGATTTTTTTGTTGTTGAAACTCGAGAAGTGTTTTGATTGGCATCTAAGACTGCTTTCTGTACACAAAGCCACTGAAGATGGCCTAGAATAAGAATGACTGATTACAGAAAAGAAAATTAAAATATATACTTTTGTGTTCGTATTCATTTTTAACTCAATGCTGCATGGGAGAGCATCAGGAGTGCTGCTAAATCAGAAATCATGCCTCTCTATCTGTAAAAAGAGAATAAAAACCTGTGTTGCTCTTTCTTGAACTGTCAGAGTAATAATAGTCTGTGAGCAGCAGACTGAAATAATTTTTCTATCAATTCAGTTCTCCAGACAGCAGCTGATAAGTAAAAGTATGTAATTCTGTGCCTTTAAAGAACTGCTATAATCTTCCTAGGCTGTTTATTTTTAATATATATTTGCTAGCCTCTGTCTGATTAGTCTCAGACCTCACACTGACTCAACAAAGACTGTTCTGAGAGAAAGGCCATGCCATGTGGTTTCTGTGAGTCTGGTGCTCAAGTGTCTTCATTTGTGAAATGCCAAGGATATATTTACAAATAGCAGAATTCTACAGTACTGATTTCAAATAAGCTACAATGAAGGTTGCTTTAGCTGGAATGCCTCTGTGAACACATAGGGTCAAAAGGAGCAGGTTCTGGGGAAGTTGGGGGTAAAGGGAAGCTGATACCAAGGAGCTCAAGAAAGAAGAAAATGTTTTCAAACTGATTGTGGTAGCGATTGTATCATACTGTTTGATATGATTGCAATATGGAATGGAACGATAGCTTTAAGAGCTCCCAATCAAACGGTTTTGGGGTAAAAATATATATAAATTCTCTCTCTCGATATATATATATATTATATTTATAAATATATTTATTGTATTATATATAACATAGTATAATATCATTATAAATCTATTATAATTATATAAGTAATGATATAATTATATAATTAATAATGTAATGTATTTCTATGTCAGCCTCTGGGTCTGGCAGTCATTCTAGGCGGCAAAAGCCAAAGCCAGTGTGCAAGATGTAAAAAGAAACAAACAGTGGCCATAGTTGGCAAAAGCATGCTGGACATCAGTAGAGGAGCTTGAAGCAAGGAAAAAAGGGATGCTACAAAGTTTAGAAGTCGGCCCGCCAAATCACTCCTTCTTTACTGAAGCAGCAGAAATTAAGGGCTTGTTCAAATTCCCTCATTTTCTCTGATGTTCCTAACTAGATCCTGCTGTGGCCCTCTTTTGTTTTCCCTTTCTTTGGCACCTTTTGTCATTGCTCTCCAAGATCTCCTTGCCTCTGTACTGTCCCACCTTGCCTCCTCCATGATCCTACATCAGGTTTCTTAGGCTTTATAAATTTTTACAGAAACAGACAGTCTCATCTGTTGCCCAAGGAGCAGCTGATATATTTGAACCAATGACTTTGCAATTAGCAGTCTAACACTTATCTGACAGCGCTCCCAAAGCCTCCTGAAACAGTCATTAATTTATTGTACTGATACCAAAGGCTCAATAGAAAGTGAATGCTTAGAAAATAGTGATGGCAACATATGTACAAATATGCTTGATACAATTGATTGTTATAAGAGCTGTAAGAGCCCCCAATAAAATGATCTTTTAATTAAAAAAATTATTGTAGAAGATCTCCAAAAATTTTGTGGGAAAATGTGATTAAAATATAATGGATATTAGGCTGGATCTGGTTTTCAACATTTTATGTGTTTGTTTTGTTTGTTTTTTATTCTTATTGAGGCTTAGCTCAGATGTGTTATGTCACTGGGGCCACCCTCTTGAATTTTTTGTTATATATATGTGTCTATTTTTCAGTATATTAAACCCAGGAATGATGAACTTATAGGGAAAGGAAGTAGAATAAGGGTTTCTGGGGGAGAACAGTAGTGATGGCGGTGGGGAGGTGTAAAGGGGAGCGGATAGCAAGGAGTTCAAGAAGGAAGAGAATGTTTTCGAAATGACTGTGGTAGCAATTGTACAAAACTGCTTGATGTGATTCAACTATGGAATGATTTGATACCTTTATTAACTCCCAGTGAAATGGTTTTGGGGAAAAAATACACACGCACGTGCACACACACACACACACACACACTTGTGTAAAGGAATCTTCCCACAAAGTTGTGAGGCCCCACCATGTATCTCTTCTTCGACAGGTTGTATGTTCGACATCATTTAAATTGCAGAGCTCATTAAAATAAAATGTGTTAACACTTACAAGGCCTCTGTATGTTCTATGAAAGAGCATTTAAACAGCACAGAAAGAATTACAGAATACGACTGAAGGAATAGGTGTCACACGAGATATTACTAACATACCATGTGGGTATAGAAGAGGAAGATAGGCATCATGGACATGTCGGGGAAATCGTGAAGAAAAGTCACTGAAACATGAGTAAAGCCGTATGCAAGGAAGGGGGGTCTGGAGGTAGGCCTAGTGGGCACTTTAGACAAGTGAAATAATCATTAAGTACATTAAGTATATAGATATTATGGAAACGATAACTTGCTGCCATATCATGTAGTGCTTAAGTAAAAACTGAAGCACTTAGCATATGATCTTTAGGCAAGCGGTATCTTGGCATTTTTAAATAGTTGAGGAACATAATTAAAGTAATATTGGGGCAGAGGTGCAGTCCCAAATCAAAGATAACTATAGAGTTTTACATTTGATTGGCTGAGAGGAGAGTTGGTTTATAAAATAAATTTATTCAAATCAGGAAAAGGTACGGTATTCATGGAAGAAGTTGAATTATTTTAGGGGCAAGTTAACCTGAGGGTGTTGGCAGAGCATCAAGGTCAAGATGTCCACAAGATGCTTGGAAATATGGATACCGATTTTCTTGGCAAAATGATTGTTAGAGAAAGTTTTGGATATTGTGTGGAAATTATTAGAGGCATTATAAAGAAACAAGATCCAAACCAGAAGTTTGAAAATACCTCCACGGAGGGGCCAAAAGTATCGTTGCCAAAGAAAATGCCCTCCGGGACCGCTAGTAGGACACAGTTGTCCTAGCAGCAAAGGAAGAGAGAAGGATTAAGAACTCGGGAAAGGTGGGCAGACACTAAAATTGGCATACACGACAGTGGAATAAAAAGAAAAAGATGAGGACCGATGACTTTGTCTGCTGGGGACTTCCTACTCATATTTAAAGAGCCCGAGGGTAGATGCTAAACTGGTGGCATGTATGCTAATTGCGGTGGCATGTATGGGGCCAGGTACTGAAAACACAGTAACACAGAGAACACTGCCTTAAGAAGCTCCCACACGTTTTGGGAAAACCTACATGTAAACGATGTGAAATCATCACAGTGCCGTATGATGGGGGTTTTTCAAAATATTCCTGGAAAACTTCCATTGTCTTTTAATTCCATTGTCCCACAAACTTTTTGAAGACCCCTCGTCTGTGCTTTAATTGTGACAGAAATATTGTAGTTCTGTAGCTCAAGAGTGAGAGTAACATTCTCAACCTCTCTCCTCTGTGTGACCAGAAAATGGACGACAGGCATACCTCGCTTTGTTGCACTTTGCAGATAGTGTGTATGTGTTTGTTTTTTAACAAATGCAAGGTTTCTGCCCACACTAATTTCACACCATATTTCCAGCAGTATATGCTCAATTCATGTCCCTGTGTCACCGTTCGGTCTATCTCCCAGTATTTCCAACTTTTTCTT